AAATTCGCGGCTGAAAGGGTTACAATTTCTGCTGCGTTCGATGCTACGCCTATCGGAGGAAATATCCGAGTAAAATCTGCAGAATAAAAAATGTTTGGTTAATTTCCCATTAAACCAATGCAACCCAATTTGTCAGAAATCAGACTTTTCAGAACAAAAATTATGCGTTTAATTGAAAATTCAACTTTTGTTTCACCATAATTATATGAAATAAAACTTAAATTGGTTAACAGTGAAATAAAACAACTGCATTGATATTATATTTTATTAATTTATTTCATATAAAATGATATTTTAATATAAAATGAAAATTTGGGATAAAAAATAGCGGGATATTTTCTTCCAAATGTTCGCCTGCAGCCCTTTTTTCCCTTGTCATATAAAATCATATTCTAATATTTAGTGATATTACAGAATTATTTTTTATTATAAATCATATATTTAATTAAAGGTTTTTTGTGCTCTTTTTTATCTTGTGCATATCTTTTTTTTAGCCAGACTTTGAAGCACGGCTTACGCATGTTCCAGAAACTCATCCATTTTTAATTTGTTCTACTATTAGAGAGCATTCTGGGACTTATGAAAATCGCAATTAAAAACGGAGTAGTCTCCACAATCCTGTTGGTATCAACCTTCAAAAATCCCGAAACAGAAAAGTTCAAAACTGAGTTAATACAGCCGCCTTAGGTTTTTGCTGTGAATCGCTTGTTTCTTGTTTAAGCTTAGCTTTTCTATATACTAGGCTTTATTCCTTTGATAATAAGGACCAATTGCTGAAAATTTCAAAGCAATCCGCTTATTATTAAAAAAGTTATGCTACTGTAAATAATAAAATGTCGTACATGCACTCGGTTTTGATTGCCAGTGTATATTTAAAACACGTTTTAAAACATTTTGTTTTAAACACGTTTAAAACATATGTATATAAAAAACATCATATAAGTAATATTTTTTGTACTTTTCAAAAGTTTTATTTGCAACATCCGAATTTTTTCATCCGCCCGTAGTGAATACACGGAAATCGAAAGTGAACCGGTTCGGAGATAATGAGACTCATAACACCGTGCGACGAAAACAAAAAAATTTCAAACCACACGAAAGAATCGATATAC